TCACCAAAAATGTGATGCATGATGCATTCAAATATCTGCTGACTTAGGAACTTAAACTACATAAGTAGACAATACCTTCTTCAAAATCAAGTTGGGAAAAGGATGCATTAAATATATCATCAGAACTTACTGATGCTATCAAAAGAAGATTTAATAGGTGTTTTCAAAACGCATACAGGTGATACAGCAAATATTTTGCTGTGGCAATTTGCTGCTATTGCAATTTATATAAAATTAGCTTTGACATTGTTGTTATTGCATGAACCAAAGTCCAAGGAGACAAATATAACAGCATTCAACACTGAACAGATTTATATAACAATATATATCGCTATTTTACATCATATAAAATAATGTAAATAATATTTAGCTAAAATCCTTTCGTTTATAATATCAATTCTATTATAACACAGGTATATCATATTAAAAAATGACTCATATTATTAAAGTTAACAGACTCAGTCTGTCAGTCAGTATATTAATTCAAATAAAGGTTAAAAAGCGCCTATTAAGTATGTTTAAAGAAAAAGATTACCTTCATGTGGCTGTCTTTACTCCGTCTGGTCCATATTGTCACGGAAATTGGGCACAAAATGCACAAAAACGCTTAAAAACTACATTTCTAAACTAAATTTCAGAAATCGACAATTTGTTGTCACTTATCGAACAAATTCTGCCAGGCGCTTCCCGTTCCGGTTGCGTCCTCCCCAAGCACCCCCGCGCGCTCTCTCATCTTACCCACTGATCTAATTGCCTGACAGAGACTGTTAGGTCCTGTTTGTATGGAAGCCGGGCTGGCCCGCTTAGCGAGACAGCCCGGTAAGGTAGATAAGCAGGATTTATTTGAGAACATTTCATCCCGCTTACCGGGACAATTTTGTTGTTTTGACATTGTTTTGACAGTTGTTAAAAATAGCTTGCGGCAGTATCGTTGAACTTTCATCCTGGCAACTGGGCTAGCCTGCTTGTGATTGTTTATATGGAGAAATTTCCATCCTGGTCTCTGCAACCGGGCCTCCCGCTTGTACATAGAAACAATTTTAATTATAATTTTTACTATAAAAATAAGTAGACAGCGAGATCTCACTTACCGGCTGTCTCACTTAGCGGGCCAGCCAGTTTCGATATAAACAGGCCCTTAAAAGCTGCAAGTTTCCTTAAAGCAATATCGTCTATATCACAGAATACAGTTTCTGTAGTGACATACTTTGTGTGTTTTCTGTCTTTAAAGTGTCTTATGTTTGTAATATTTTTGTACAATACCTTTTTGAAATTGTTGATACTGGTCTCATTGTAACTCAGTTATTCCTTCTCAAGAAAAATAAAAAACAAAGCTGTGTGGGTGTGTTTTTGCTCTAGTTTTTACATTTACATGATTCATGTACAATTAATGCACATTTAAATTAGCTTTGTTCAATGAATACAGGTGTGATTCAAATATCATTCCTGTCTGGTACTTGGGTCAAATAGACATAAGCATACCAAATCATGCTATGAATTGAAATACAAGTATAGGGTGTGTATTGTTTAAATAAATATATTTTCCAGTTAACCCAGTAAGCTGCATTGTGCCCCAATGCACCCTACTTTACTAGTTTATTTCACTTCATCTAATGCCAGATGATTTTACTTATCGAGGGAGAGTGCTGCTGCTCATTGAGCTCTGATTGAGTTCACTGAGTGGCAGCACTTTCCCGTTGACGAGTGAAATTGTCTGGTGTTAGACAGAGTAAAATAATCTTGCATTCAATAAAGTAGCTACTTTTTCAAAAGCTCAACCAGGCTAAAGATTCTTTGATTTGAAAACCAAAGTGATAGTGAACTAGTTACCGGTAGTTGAAACAAACAGAATTGTTTGATTTATTTGCTTTCCACAACATTGACAATTAAAATTTAATTTGATACTTTTCCAGTATGCATTCTTCATTGACATTATAGAGGTTCAGATTTGACTACCATCACCATTAAGGGACCATCAAATGCATTTGATATATTCGATCAACCATTATAACCAATCAGATGCATACTAAGGTAGTCAGAGATAGTGCTAGTAGAACTCAAATCTTAACCTCTACAATGAAAGTGCGAGTTCTCACACACCACTGGGAGCTGTTGCAGCGTCAGCCGCAAGCTTGACATTTATTAAACTACCATACATTACAATTGCTCGCTACATAATTACTATAACAAGTACATAATATACCCAGTCCAAAACCGTTCTGTTCCTCTACTCTCTACTAATAAACATAAAAGGGCTGGGGTGGGTGGGATACTGTCAAGCCACGCTGAGCAACAACAAAAATATGCTCAAATAACCTGCACCACCTTTCCTGATTTCATCAGGCCCCCAGCAGTGTGTGAAAAAACATTTTCCACTTCTTTCATGCCTCAGCCAGCGGAAAATAACACTTTATTCATAAACTAATTATACGTAAATCAACTTTCATGCAATCATCTAGTTATGCACCAGTCAATGTAAATCCCTGCCCCCAACTGGGGAGGGGCGGGAGGTTTAGCGGGGAAAGTGGTCAGTTTTGATTATAAATTTGTCTGATGATGGGAGACTTGGACGGTGGTTAATATATATATATATCCTGTGTTGCTGTTTTAGTTTTCTTGACAAGAAAAGTTTAAATACAACAACATAAATGAATTTGATTTTCTATTGCTGATCTATGATTATACAAAACTATTTTCCCGGGGTTGAGAGACATGCAGGGGACATTGATGTCCCCGGGGGCGGGACAATTTTTCTCTTTTACTACCCCTCCAAGTCAAAATCCCTGCCCCTCCCCGGTTGGGGGGTTTACATTGACTGGTGCATTAATTAAAGAAGTGTCAGTGCCACATATGTAGTAAAAGCCAACTTGTCAGTAAAGGCCACAGAGCAAGATTGTATTTCAAAGATTGCCAGTGACAAAAACAATTGATAGACTGATAGGCCTGAAATAGAGTATGCCAACAGTTAGTATACTGCAAATAACTATTCCTATCAACAAGATAATGTGTGTTTTTACAAATGTTTTTATATATCAATCCAATGGCATGTAAGTGATGTAACCTAAAATTCAGCAGTGTCTGTGTAATGTAATACACCCCTTACTTCTCAATGGTCAAATTAACTATACTACATTGTGTATAATATTAATATATGGACTGGTTCAAAAGTATATTGAATTTATAACTTATAAGTACTTGTTGAACTGGTGAACTATTGATGTAGAGATTATGCCAAGTATACAATGGCACAAGGATTTTCATGTTATCAGCATGATTAAATCGTGAGATTGTGCAAATAATCTGTGTAAAATCTCTTAGAGATATCCTCGGTAGCTACATTTTAAGGTAAAATGACTATGGTAAAGCTATTCAAGGAAAAAAAGCAATGGTCTGTCAACCTCGTTGTCAACAGTAAATTTAACTAAATTTATGATCCATTTATTGCCGTATTTTAGCTGAGAATTCATTTAAGACAATGCAATACGATAGACTTACCTTTGAATTTATCATATATTCTTTTAAAATGGTCACCAAAGCTCTAAAACTCGATTGGTATCGTTTTAACTTCCTCACTCCTTAATGTTTACATGTAAATTCGTCAAATTACACTTGTTTAGGGCACTGGAAACGAGACGCGGCAAAGATGCGCGAGGCGACATGCGCGGGGACATCAACATCAAAGATTCCGACATCGTGTGAGACTTCTGGTCTTATTATTTATTTTGTGGTGTGGGGTTAGGGGGTTAGAGGTTAGGGTTAGAGGTTAGGGGTTAGGATTAGGGTTTGGATTAGGATTAACGTTTGGATTAATTGTAGACTTTATTGCATACAATGGCATTACAACGCCAATAAATTATTGGTTACAACGTGCGGAACGGCTGAAATGTTGCGTGTTTTGTTCGGTCGCGTCATAGAAGTGAACTTGCGCCTGCGAATACATGTACGCGCATGTCAATCCATTGATCCTGCAGAAGGCAAAAAACTTTGGCCGCGCCGAATGTAGACATACAAAACCTTGATTATTGAGAAAACGAGTTCGGTAAGCAACCTCGTCCCCAGGGACTTCCTCGTGGTGGCGCGTGAGCTGAGGAAGACCCTGGTAAAATACGATGAAATCTCCAAGATTCTTGGAGATTTATCGCATGCGCAGTAACGACAACGTTATGTTGCTGACTACAATTAGCGCTGGCGCTTACGATTTTCTTGCTTGAAAATATACATGTTTTGTTGCTTGTTTATGGATTTATTCTCAAAGTTTTAACAACTTTTACGAAAAATACTTCAGATATAAGCTATGAACACACATGTACACAAAACTGTGCAACATTCATCATCATATTGTATCAATTTGTCGGAGTATGGCGCTCAAATTTGTGACATTGTTTTGTTCGCTTTGGCAACCCTCGTATATATCAGATGACCTCAGATGCTGTTCGGCCTCAAATGCGACTGAATAAACACTGATAGTGTTGCCTGGAATATGAAATAATATTGAATGATTGTTCCGTATATCAAGGTACGTACTGTACATTTATACTGGATTTATTTTCACACTAGTTTCAAACTATTTCAGCTTTATGAACAATGAGATCACATCACTAACATACAGAAAGACTCCATATTTTCTCATCAAATCTGATTATCGTTACAAGTAACAGTAGAAATGCTTCAAAATTTATTCTGTATGTAAAGCAGGCCAGCATGTTTCATTTTCCTTGGTAGTCACCACTCACCATTCCAAATAGGCCATTCCATTTAATAGCCCCCCCCCTATTGTCTATCGAGGTCTGGATATCCTATATGAGGATTTTATAGAAGGGGGTTTTACCTTAAATTTTTGTGGAGGGTAGCTTAAGAGATTTCCTAAAAATTAGGTGTTTTAGTGATATCCAAAGGGGCAGGAACAATATCCTAAAGGGTAGAAAGACATCCATAGGGGTTCCAAAATTGCATCCAATGGGGTTCCAAAATTATTAAAAGGTATTATGAAGAGACCCTCAATAGGGGGGGGGGGCTATATTAGATGGAATGGCCCAGTGTGCTGCAACAACTTTTAAAATTTGTATATATGTTTTTAAGGCACAATATGTGATGGAGTTTGATGATGATCAACT